AGGCGGGACTGGACGGACGGGAAGAGCGAGTGCGGGTCACCCCCGCCTGGCGCCCAGCCCAGCCCAGCCCAGCCCCTCGCCCGAGGAGCAGTTGTCACCGAATCGGACAACAGCCGGGCTGGAAGGGACCTCCGCAGGACGTCACGGCCCGGCCCGTCCAGCCCAGCCCCTACCCAAAGCGGGACCAGCCCCAGCAATGTCGATTCCCGTGTAAAACGGGTTGCGAGACCCCTGCGGCTTGGCTGCAACGGATCAGGACGTGGAGACAAAGCTAAGGGGTGTGGGGAGGTCACTCACTTTGCAATAAGCATCCCAGGGGTTATTCATTCCCTCCTTCCTGTTACACCATTGCACAGGGCAGAAACTAGTCTCTTCCACTCCTCTCTATTAATTGCTGCTGTCTCCATCTGCTCTATGTTATTCAGACCAGCTGCTCTGCTGTCCCGGCTAAGGTGATGTGCAAGTATCACAGAGAAAATCTGCCCCCAAACCACCTGCTGACTATCACATTCACTACAGCAGTGATGCCCAATCTTCCAGCCCCACAGGCCAGATCCAGCATGGGGTCAGCATTTGGGGTCAGTCCACGGGTGCAATAGAGCATGCCAGCCCAGCCCTGCACACTGGATCGACACAGAGAGACCCCACACGTTGGCCCTGGCTCCACACACCAGATCTGACTGTAGGGCCACCCGGGCACTGGCAACGTCTGGTACTTGGGGCCATGTCCTCTGATCAGCAGGGCTCCTCACAGGCGGGAGGATGGCTCTGCAGGGAGGATTCAGCCTACGTACCAAAGGTTGAGCACCACTGCACTAAATTATCAAAGCACCTAATAGTTGTCACCACATAACAGAGACTTACACAGGATCTAGTTTCCTCTCCTTCCCCAAAAACTAGAGTAGGAAGATGTTTTATGGCTGTGGACAGACACGCATGTGAAGCACTTCAAATACCACCATGAAAAAAGCGCTCCTCATTTGGAGTGCTTCAGTACTTTACAAATGTATAAGCCCCTCACAGTTAAAGCATCATGTAATGTACAGGGGTGAGCCTACTGCATCACGTCACATTGAGGGCACTATCGAGCAGGTATCCTAGCACACCTGGGCAGTGGAGTTGGGAGTAAATCGCAGAAGGGCCGCCGAGGGGTGCGAGTACGGTGGGAAAGGAACGCTGCAAGATGCATCTACTAGGCTTGATTAAAGGGAAGCACATCAAGTTCATGTTTCATCCATTGTCATTTTTTATATGGTTTGGGTTATTAGTATTGCTTCAGCATTGTGTGCTGTCTCCACCCTCACATTTTTTTAAAATACTTGGAGCGCTACAAATACAGCATCTAGCCATGCCCTAAATTCCCTTGTTATGCCAGGGTAAGCCCTATTAGATTGATTTTAGCCTGAGCTGAATCAAGTCCAGACCAGCAGGACTATGTCATTTAAACAGCCTGCCAAATTCAGACTGTATCCACTCCATAACAGATTTGGCCGTTTCCCACTGTGAGGGTTTTTTCACTCTTTTTACTGTATTTAGACTGGTTTGACAGCCTTTGTGAGAGTAGTGTTAGACCAGGAAAACAAACTGAGCCAGTGCGGTTTCATCAGAAGTCATACATAGAGGTGCTGGAAGCCCTGGGGAAGCTGAGGGAAGTGTCTATGAGATGAACGTCAACTAGCAAAATCCAGAATAGTCATTGGGGCACATTATTGATGGAAAGAGTTAATGCTTCTCTCTCAGACTGCAAGATGTTAAGCATCCTGAAGAAACAATCATGACCTCTTCAAGAAACAGTCATTTATTGTTAACGAATTGCCCGATACCACATTGCACTCTTTACTGGAGAGCTCCGTGTTCACCTGGATTCTCCTGTCTCTTGGATCAGTTGGATCTCTTCCAGCCTGGGTTCAGACCTTGCTAGAAATGGAGATGGCATTAGTAACCTTAGCTGATACTCTCTTTTCTTCAAGCAGTGGATGGTTAAAATAAAAATTGAGTGTCATATCAGTAGCTTTGTCAGCAGCCTCAGATGTGGCTGACTTGCAGAAAGGAACAGGGCTGTTCTTTAATGTTCCAGGCTTTCCTTTAGAGAAGTCTGAAAAGGTGGTATTGAATAGCTGCTGCTCATACAGGGTCCCACAGGGCTGCATGCCACCACACCACTTTCCTGGTGTGTATGGAATCCTGCAGAAGCATCAGCTTTCAATTTTCAGTTTGCTACCTGTATTTCATCAGATCTGGATAGCACTTTCCCTGCTGCCTGGCTGATAACTGGAAGCGACTCACTTGATGCTGATTGACAGGGGAAAGTAACATGAGAAATGAATGGAAGTTGTATGTGCTCCATCTATTACAGGCCTGTGTCTGAGCTGACAATCCTGAAGTGTTTTTTATGCCCCCAAGGGGCCTTGGATTCTCAGGTAGCAATGATGGCTCATTTTCCTTCAGATAACAGAAGAGGCTGGATTTCCCTTGTTGACCGACCTCACAGCAAATAGCCTGGCCCTTATCTTTGAAAGCCAGGCTACAATATGCTATACATGAAACTGTACTTGGAGACTGTTCTGAAGCTTTAACTACTAAATGGTGGAACAAGTCAGGAGGAGCATTGTAGGTGACAGGTGACTCACCTACAGCTCATTCCTCGCAGATGGGCATGACCTCACAGGCTTTTGCCCTCACCTTTGCAAGATCTCTCAGTCTTGCAGCAGTTCGTACGTTCTGTTATTCAACCCTACAGGCAGGTCGTGTTTACTTCCACCTTTTCCAGGGTTTCAGTGTCCTTAAACTCTTCCAACAAAGTCCAAACAATACTGGCCCTTGCCACCACACATTATTTCCCCTTTCTCCACTTTCACTCTTCTTTTCGGAGAATGATAACTCAGAGCTTCTTCATGGACTCCTCAACACAGTTTAAGCAAAACCCCAAATGAATTAAACCAAGCCATCCCCATTTTTCTTTCAGAATATCAACTTACAAAGAAAGCTACCTTACTCAAGCTACCTTGCCTTTTTCCCCCCCAACACAGCCACCAATTTCATACACATCTCTTAACACAAAGCTCCCACAGCTTCTTTTCAAATGAAAGATAACTACTCTGTAGGTACACCCAATAAACTTAGTCATCTTGAGGTTTGGCCTTGAGGGCTATTAGAGTTCCAGTTAATCCCCCCTCTGTCAGTATGTGATTTCTACAACTAATTTGCTGTGCAGTAAAGCATCACCATCTACACATGAGCAGCAATTAGGGTGCAGTAAACTAATTTAGTCCCATCAGATACAAGTGGTATCCAGCAGCGCAGTAAATTGCTGCACTTAAACTCATGTGTACATAGTAACATCAGGATTAGTTTACTCCAGCTCAAAATGAGGCAGAGTATAGTCAGTCACATTATTTGCATATCTAGACACACCCCCATTGCACCACATTGTGCCGGTACTACCTTCTCATCTGCTTTCAGGAGCAGTTCATGGTATTGACTCTAGAGTCATGGCTGGAAGAGTGTGAGGAGGAAGAAGGCAGAAAGCAAAGGTCACTATAATTATTTGGAAAAAATATGTCCCTTCCTTTTTATTAAAGTTCTGTAAGCATTTTACAAACTTGAATTACTTAAATCTCAGAGGCCCTCTTTGAGTTTGTATTAAATTCATTTTACAGCTGGGAAACAAGTGTTACATGTTAGTTATATGTTTTGCCTGAAGCTACACAATGACTCTCTGGTAGAAATAGGACTAAAAGCCAGGAGTCTTTAATTGCTTGCTATAAACACCGAGCATACTCCTCTCCAGCCCCAATGTTTGTTTAGCCCAGAATATATTTATTACTGAAAGAGAATGAACACATATGTTATCTCAGTAAGCTAGCAAATGCTGAAGTTTTGGCTACTTCTGAATAACTTTGTGGATTCTTGACTCTGAAACAACTGAGTAAACAAAGGCACAAGGCCACAGGATGGGCTGTAAAGGAGGAAGGGGGCTACTGCCCTTCAGCTGCCTCTTCAGTCATAATTGCACTGGCTATAAAGATGTATGTTGACTATAAAAAGCCAACATCTTACTGGATTGTATTAACAGGAATGTGACTGCAAATCGAGGGAAGTGATTCTTTTTTGGGCAGTGGTGAGACCTTACCTGGAGTACTGTGTCCAGTTTTGGGTGCCATGCTTCAAGTAAGATGTAAACAAATTAGAAAGAGTTCAGCTGATCTAAATGATTAGATGCCTGGGAAACGTGATTTATGAGGAAAAGCTGAAAAAACTGGGATTATTTATTCTGGAGAAGAGAAGACTGAGCGGTGTGGGATTTGATAAATTTCCTCAAATACCTGAACCAAGATTACAAAGTGGATGAAGATAGACTACTCTATGTGGATTTAGGGGACAGAACTAGGACCAATGGCCTCCAACTTCAGCAGAGGAAATTTAGGTTGGAAATTAGGAAGAATTTCTTCACTACAAGGGTGGTCAAGCATTAGAACAAGCTACCTAGAAAGGTTGTGGAATCTCTTTCCCAGGAGATATTCAAGCACGGACTATTCAAGCACGGACTTACACTGCCTATTTGA